GAGGATAAAGACTCGAAAACTTCGCAAAATTGCAATCCTAACTCCTCCTTGTGCCTGAAGAAAAGACGGTGAAGTTCCGACTAGTAATTAGTCTCCAGTCTAATAATGCAAACATCCGATAAAATGCCGCCAAGCTAAATGCTTCACATGCAATTTCGTGTAAATTATCTCCTAACAAGCATTCCTGTAAACCATGCTTATAGATGTCATGAAGCTTGCTAGCAATTTCTAGAATTTCAAAAATAGTTTAATGTTAAGGTGGCACCCACTATTGAGTGCCATTGTCCCACGCGGCGCCACGTGGCACTCACCGGTTAATTACGCCGCCAAGGGTTAATAACTCTTCAACCATCTGTTCATGCGTAACCCCTTTCTTCAAGGCATAGGTGAAAAATGACAAAAAACAATAAACAAGCAACTGGCAAAAAACACACCGAATATCTGCTTCTGGTTCATGCACATACATACTTTATATGTGCTCATCACACGTTTCAGAACGCATTTCTAACAAGAAATTTAGAACTCCCGTCAAGCAACGAGGCGGCCCATTCATCGTCTTCTTCTTCTCATATTTGATAATTCTGATCGATACGTACAGCTCTGACGAATATCCTTTTTTGGAATCAAATTTTCTTAAACCTTAAAATGTCCTATTTAATATTGATACGTGATTTACCCGCCTGTTAATACATGATTTCAGGCTCATTCCGTGACGAGCCCGTCTTACTAACAAAGAGCAACGAGAGGATACCGTCATCTCCTGAAACGGTAATCGGTTTTCTTTCACTTTCGCGTTGAGCACTTTTGTATATGTCTGTGATTTGCAGAGCGGAAGATCCGATTTGTTGGTCGATAACTTTTTGCATGAAGATCTCAACCGTGATGTGGAGTCGTCCAAAGACCAGTTTGATCGAAATAATGTCATTGACAAAAGTCGTTGTAAGAGAACGAATTTCCAGGTTAGTATTGTTGATTGACTGTGAAAGTTGTGAGGTAGCCTGCGGTCTAAAAAATAAAGATTGAGTCAAACAATGGGGTGTGGGCTAACAGTGGACGAAGCAAGCCATGAGGTAGGCGGGGCTAAAATTATAAACTCGTAGTTAGCTTCTGACATCATCTGAGGCCGTAAAAATGAATACAACCAGGGAAGGAGGGAGACCAGGTGCTTATGATGGGCGAGCTTTGCTCAGGCCGGTTGAAGTGCAAAGCAGAAGTTCAAGCTACGATGCTTGGTGGGAATTTCTAACAATTTTCTCAATTTTTCCGATTTTTTTTGCCAAAATAGAAGCTAATTTTCGTTCTCCTGGTCCTTATCATAAGGAGTGGGTCACAAGCTAGAAATTTACACGGGCAATGTAATCATGATGTTGTGTGGAACGATGTTCTTCAAGATTACTCGTCGCTTTCTCATCAGGCTTTTCATCGTTTTGTCTTTCAATGGTAACAATTCCATATAGTCCTCTCTAAACCCGTTATTTCCAGAGCACGGACCGAGAAGACTTGGATAAGGACTCACGCCAGTTCGAAGATTTAACGCAGGTTTGTATCGTTTAGGTGGGTGGCAAACTCACGGTTGTGCAATCGCGACAGCGTTGTGGTCATGTGCTGCACAATGGCTGAATGGGGTATTCCATTATTGATTCGTGCGGTTTCCGTTGGGGGCGTTCTCGCTGTCGCTGTTGTGATTGCACAATCGCCGAGTCTGACATCCACCCCAGACCACTCACTTTCTTTCCAAGCGTGCAGCGGCATTCTGCCCTTCATGAGTTCAGCTTGAACCTTATACGAAAATCTCAATGTTTGCATCCTTTTTAGCATCCCTTATCTGTTACGGCTAACGTAGAATCAGCGCGTCAACGCGAACTTGCTATACGAAGTGAAGACGAGGAGGGTGAGTTCGAGATGGTCCTATCTTTCTGTTTTTTGAATATGAATCAAAGTGTTGTAGATGTCCAAATGACAAAACTCGACAAACTGGCTGTTCGAGTAGTGAAGAGAGTTGCCGAATCGAATGAACTAAGCACGGATGAAGGACAAAGCTTTACAATAGTTGACCAATTGCAAGAAACAAATGTTAGTTGTTTTTTCAATGAATTCAGAACTGATTATCACTACGAGAAGTTGTCAGGTTGAAACAACGGCGGAACGGCGTAACCTTTACGATGAGCCTACGACAGAGGGAAATGTGTCACGAGAGCAGCAAGAAAGTGCTTCGGATGGCACCGAATCTTCAGGACACAGCGGGGTGAGTTTTGATTTATCGCACTACTAAAATCGAGGTATTACGGGGAAAATAATCTATTGCGTCTGGATGCTCCAATAAGACTCGTAACTGGTGGATATGGGCTGGTTAATTCTTTTCGAAACTTCATTTACTTTAATGGCTATAGCTCCAGTGTCCTACCACCCTCCTCAAGTGGTAACACTGTGGCACTGAAGTCTGCTAGTCTTCCGCTAGATGTATGTTTTGAATCCCATTAGGTTGCGCAGAAAGAGTCGAGCCAGAGATTGAATGACTTTTGGCAGTAAATTCTTCAAGGATTTCCGGAAATATAGTGTGGAAGTGTGTCTTACAGTCATGGTTCCAGAGGTCGACGGACTACTTGAACTCAGCCCTTTAAACCGCCTCTGCGCTCTCTCGCGGGTCCCTCTCCTCTCCAAGGCTTAGTCCTAGGGCATTCACCCGTTCTCTAATCGTCTGTGCTCTAGCCATCGCGGCAGGACCATTGAGGAAAAATCAAGTAGTCCGTAAACCGTCCGGAAGCCTCTGAAACAGAGATCTCGCACCGAGGGATGGAATGTGTCCACGACTTCAATCTACAAATCCGTTCTTCGAATTATTCCTTCTTCTTCTCCGTAGTCTTTGTCCCGCGCCGTGGCATTGTCCGCTGTCTTCATTGGCCGTCGCCACTTTGCATGTGCGCAGTACCGGAGATTGCAGTAGTCACAAACTCGCCCGTGTCACTCTCCTTGTCGTTGCGAATGAAGCTCACTCGCTTGACTATTGCGTGGGTCACTGTCAGGGGATCTTAAGTAAGATTTATTGTGAGATTATTGTGGAACTGACAAAAATGTTCGCTGAATGAATCTGTCATTTGTTTGTTGAAGTACAAAAGGAGCGTAGTCTCATTGCCGAACTCGTATGTAGTTGGTGCAATTCATAAATGTTACTTTTTCATGTGCAAAATTTTCACTGTTTGACGGAAATAACGAATTCCTTCTGCGAGCCCTTATAGCCAAACGTGTCACAATCGGCTCAGTCGCTGCTGATTTTCTTCGAATTTTAACCAAATAATTTAATTTTTTAAAACTCTTTTTCTTATGTTTGACTTCACATTTTTCCATTCGTGATAGTGCACTTTCAGTCCGAAACATGCGTGCCTGTCCCCGCTCCCACTGAGAACGTTTGGGCGAAACGGCAGGAGGAAAGAGAATCGCAAGAAAAGGAAAAGGTGAGCGTCATTCGTTTACTCATTATAGTGGTAGCTTTCTATGTTTTCGTAAATCAGTAGTACTTTTGTGTTTTATAGCCTCCACGAAGTTCTTAGCGTTTCTCGCTTCTTCAAAGCAGTTTTATGGGGGATTTGTGGTATGTCTATGGAAGATAGTACTCCGGTCCAGCCTTTGGGGCCGCTCATGAGATGAGCGGAAAAATGTTTTGGAAACTGCACCTTTTCAACTCGAATGCGGTTCTCATTCATCGTTAACATTTGCATAGTAAAAGTTACTCGTGAGATTCAAACTGAATATCGTACGGAATTATATAACGGTGGAGCTTTGTCTATGATATGTACTGGGAAGAGTGGAAGTTTCATAGGAGGAGCTCAGTGCATGGGTGCTCGGCACGATCTGATTTTATCAAACTGCTCTTTCAGCTTA